GAGGTCCCTTCCAACCCTCATTTTCTATGATTCTGTGATTGTCCACCGTAACCCACAGGTCCTTTTCTGCAGAGCTGTTGCTTAGCTAGTTGGGCCCCAATCTGTACTGATGCATGGGAGTGTTCTACCCTACATGCAGGAATTTCCACTTGTCCTCACTGAACCTCATGACATTTCTTTTGGTCCAGTCCTCCAATCTGTGTAGTTGCTCCCCACCTTTGATTCCTGCTGGGAAACCAATGCCCTAGGATAAGCAGTGGCACTGCTATTCAGGCAGCGGTGAGAGTCCATTGACTTTATGGCTTATTATCATCTGCCAGATTACTCTTAATCTCTCTCCACTGCACAGGTGTTCACAACAGTCTCTTTTTTAAAGGACAAAGCACTGTCAAGACATTCAAGAAGGCTAGATTTTGTTTTATGACTACAGGACTAAGACCACCCTTATATCTTTTGAAGATTTTTTGCCTAGTTTGTTGTGATTTTATTTTTTTAGTTTTTATATAAATCTAGTAAATTAGCATACATTCCAATAGGTGTATTTGTTTTTTAAATGATCTTAAACTGAGTAATAAAATGCCATCTCCTAGCCTATTAGTAAAGCTTCTAGTTTCTTTCATGGGAAAAAATGTATCCTGTGTTCTATGTGACGATGGGCTACATCACCTGCACCCCCCATTTCAAAATCCTAATTCCACCCATGTCCACGTCACCTAATTCTCAACTTACTTAAACTGCTGATAAAAGCTATGCCTGTCACTCAATGCTAAAATCTCAGCCACTTCTGGGGCAGGACCTGTCAACTGTTTGAACGGCACACAGCAATGCTGTGCAGCACATTAGGAGGGAGTGGAGAGAGGTGGCATGGAAGGCAGCTCCCCTCCTCACCTTAGTGATGTCCACGGGCAGGCCATTGTGTGCTGCCTCAATCATTGGGTCAAGGCCCTTGGCCTGGCGTAGGAAGAGCTTGGCCCCCTCAATGTCATTCTTCTGTTTGGCCTGTAGTGCTGCCTGCGTCAGCTGCTTCTTCCGGCCCTCTAGGAATACCAGCTGCTGCTGGGCTGTGGGGGTGAGAAAAGGGAAGTAAGGATGCCTGAACAGCTCCATGAACCTCACATTTGTGCCCATTACAGGCAGCAGCAGCTAGAAACAGGAGGATTAGTACACTGGGAATCCCACACCCATTGTCTCTGGGGGCTGCAGCTCAGGACACAAGGTGGGCAACACTGGCATCACCCATGAGGACTTCACTAATTAACTGCTTATTTGTGATTTGGGACAGCCTTTGCTCTGGGTCAATAATGTCAGACACCAGGTGCCTAGTCTCTCTCGGATAGTTACACCCAAACTGCTGCATCACTCATGCGGCAGCACCTGTCACCAAGAGACAGCCTTCAGTGAATTCACAGCCAAACAGAGGGGTATGGGAGGATAGATGTGGGTCTGAGTAAGTGACAATGGAGGTAATGATGGAAATCTGATGAGGAGGTTACAGTCTCCTGGTAACTCGCCACATGAATCAAGCAGCAGGAGACTCTTGCTCTGAAGCTCTCTGGTGTGGCTTGACAGAGTGAGAATAGTGTGATCATTGCAGGATTGGAACCCTTGATTTCCAACAGCCAGGAGGTAGTCAGCTTGTTCTGTATTGACTTCCATGCTGCAACTGGCCTAGACGTGGGAGCACCAGTCACTGCAGGAGCCTGACTCAGTGTTAAAACATGCAAATCCTCTATTTTCTAATGCAGCTCCCAACATGCAGCCTGGGAGCCACACCTATCATGCTTGGGCTCAGCAGGCAGGGGTGGAGAAGGGCTACCTGCACAAAGAAACAACTCCATGTTGAGAATCAGCCTCAGGCTTGGCACTGGCATCCCAGAGACTAGAAAACCCACATACCTCTGGTGTTGGCCTTGGGGGTTGACTTTGCTGTCCCTGCTGGGTGCAGTGCTGCAGGTCCAGCCGAGGATATTGGGGCAGCAGGCTGAGATGGCAGCTTGGGCTGAGACACAGCAGCTGGCTTTGTCAGTGCAGGGTGGGGCTGAAACAGGAATAATTAGAAGAGTTAGTGAAGCTGCTTTGCCCAGAACAGACACCAGCTCCAGAACACCAGCAATGTGCACAAAGAAAGCCCAGACAAAACACAGCCCTTGCCTGTTGTTTACAGCCCCATGCACAGTGTCTGAGCTGATGTGCGACTTGGCGTCAGCCACGAAACTCACACCACAGCCCAGGTGGAACAGCACTGATACAGTGCCACTGTGATTCCACCTGACGCTAGCCAGACTGCTATCTTGGGCTGAACCAGTATCTCCACACATGCACATGTACACACTTAGATCAGACCAGCAGATCCCATTAGCCTCGTGACACTGAAATCAGCCCAATGATCTCTCCCTGTTCCGATATCCAACAGGGATGAACACCACATTTGTCAGCTGGATGAGGAAGGAAGGGGGTTCCTCCTTGGCTGTGGGGCTTACAGTACATTACATTCCACCCCCTACCAGTTACCCAGGAGGGGTGAGGGGACAGGTTCCACAGCACTCACAGTCAGCGGGGTTCTACATGGCAGGTGCCACATGGAATAAAACTGGCTAATAAAAGATGGGGAAAGTTCTGAACAGATCCCTCTTGTCACTAACAGACCAGGGGCTCTTGGCTGGACAGGACCTGACCTTTGTCTCCTGAATCTCATCCTCCTCCTCATCATTCTCTCGGTCCTCCTGATTGGCTAATTTCATGGCTGTCTGGAGGACCCCCACGATGCTCTGGCTCCCTGACGAAGCCTCCATGCCCTGGATGGGGGGAAAGCCTGGTAGAGAGAGGGCAGAGTGAAGAGGGGGTTGGGGAGATCTGACACACAGCTCCCCATAAGGTCATCCCCTTCCCACTCACTGAGACCAGATACGCCTCTAAGTCAAGGCACACTACAGGGAGCAAGCAGGCCACTTGGCAGACTGCAAGCATCAATCCTCAGGGTGAAGCTCAGGCACTGAGCACAAATTACACCCCAACACAGGCTGCCTCAAAGCTCATACCAAAATGCAGAAGAGGCCACAGATTGAACTCCCCTCTAGGACCTACAGGGGACATCCTTCCAGGATGGGACTGATGCAGAGGTGAGGCCAACCTATTGCTGCCAACACCGTGTGTTCTGTGAATGAACTGCCTTTGGGGCCAAGTGAAATTTGCCTGTGTAAAGGCATCAGAAAGTGCTCTCTGCTGTTCCAAGCTGGCATCAAAGACAACTGGGATGATACCTGGTGGGACAGGCAGCTCCGAAACCTCCACAGCTTTCCCTGTCTTGTGGGCCCGGATGGCGTCTTGGTATTGCTGAAAGGGAAATCATGACTAAGACTGTTTGCAGTGTGTCACCACCTAGGAATCCACAAGCTATGAGGCCAGGTGTTAGGCAATGTAGAAACAGAGCAAAAGATAAGTCCCAGGCCCAAACAGCTTAAGATGCAAGAAGAAGGCAAGAGCCAGGAGGCAGGGAGAGAGATATGAGAAGGGAACTCTATACAAGCTGCTATGGGAGAGGCATCTATCAATCAGAATGAGATGGCCAGCTTGCTGTCTCTATCTTTTACAGATAGTCACAGATTTATTCCAGGGCATTAATCAATTATCTCTTTTCCCTTTGCTGACAGATGGCAGAAGGTGAGGGAAGACAGCTACTTCAGTCTACAGTCCACTGGATTGCCTTCCATGCCCCAGGCATCTATGACAGATTAGACTACAACCATGCCAGAATTTGGTTTGGATCTACAAGGTCAGGTTTCCATTCTTCCATGATTTCATTCCTCTGCCATGATGCTGGTTGTTAATACTCAGTTCCACCCTCTGCCTTTGCAAGATACTGAGCAAAACCAATGGACTTCATGAATGAGAGAGACACTGGAACTTTTCATCTATCACTAAAATGCAGCTGTCTCTGGGGCAGAATATAGCAGCTGTGTAACAGGGCATAGGAACACAGCAGCAGGAGGAAGCGACAGGCACAGTAGCCAAGTGAAATTGTGTAGGGCAGAGGTTTTCAACCTTTTTTAATAAGTGTAGCCTTGGCAGCTGGATGCGGAGCTGGGGCGGGGGATGGTGCATGGCTGGATGCAGAGCACTGGCAGTGCAGGGTGGTGGCAGTGGCCACCATGTACAAGCCTCCCCAACCCCTGTGTCTAGCCAGCTGAGTGGCACCTGTGCAGCCCGCAGAAGGACGCTGCTGCCCTCGCGGCCCCACCCCCACCCCCCCAGGGATGCTCCTGGGAGGCGGCAGCACAGGGTGGTGCCACACCCCACCCACCCACAAGTACCCCCTAGGGTCTTCCCAAGTACCCCCAGGGGTATGCGTACCCCCAGCTGACAAACCCTGGTGTAAGGGATTTAAAAGGGGGAGGATGTAGTTATGGAAAAGCTGTGGCCCAGGATGGGCCAGTTCCTCACCTTCACGATGCGCTCATGCATTCTTGCCTTCCGGTCATCTCCTTTGCTCTTGGCCTGGACTGCTGCTGTTTTGTACCTCTCCATCCTCTGTTGCAGGGCCTCCATCAGGTCTCGGGGTGGTGGGGGGATGTCTGTTTCACGGAAAGGAAGGCAGGAGGGATGCAGCAAGTGGGTTGATTTTACTTATTTCTCAGTTCCCAGCAACCCACAACTCCATCCCTGGCCTTTTTGTAACAGCAGGTGCCTCAGCACACCAAGATTCAGCCCCTAAGCAAATTATCTCCAACCCCTTCCCCCAGGGTTGGTGCTGATTAATAGCAGCTGCTGCAACTGCTGGAAAATGAGCAGGCTCCCAGCATAGCATGCCCAGGACCTAGGTGCCCTGGGGACATGAACATTTTCTGGTTAGCCTGAAGCTCCAGACTGCTTACTGGGGGGATCTGAAATGGACCCTCTCTTCCCCCTCAAAAGCAAGTCTGCCCTCTAGCTACAGGCTAGGAAGGAAGGGCAGGTGGGATGGATGGCAGCCATAAAGGGTGAAGCTGCTTTCTAGTCCTCTCAGGGGTCCCACAGCCTGCAAGGTGGGACAAAGGGCAACTTGCAAAGTGAACAAGGCATTGAGGTACCCCCAGAGCTACAAAAGAGCCACACCTGAGGCAGGAGAGACCAACTTAGGTTCGGGTGTAGCTGCCGGCATTGCTGCTGGGGACTGCTGCGCACACGGGGACAACAGCTTCTTGGGCAGCTGGTCTGTAGGGGTGAAAGAACAGCTCAGAGGGCAACGGAAGGAAGGGGCAGCTGGAATCAGCCTCAAGGATCAAGGTGGAGGGAGGCTGTGCTTTCCCAGCCAGGTTCCAGGCTTTCCTCAAAAAGCAGGACCCACTTGCCTTGTCCAGCACCTTCTAAGCCAGACACTCAAACTTATCATTAAGCCTCTTCTTTGCTCTCCCTACAGGAAAGCTAAATGGCAAATCTAAGCTGGAGCAGAACCAGAGACTCAACTCCCATGTCCTGCTCCAGCCATGGAGTGAACCCAGCCAGATCCAAGGACAGCAATCTTAGGATGGTCCAAGGAACCTCCTTTGTACTGCCTCCTTTGTACTGCCAAAGCCAGCTTGAAAAACCCTCCTCCCTCACAAAACCCAGAGGCCCTTGGCTGGCAAAAGTGAGTATCAGGTCTTACCACAAGGGGGTGGCAAGCTGCCCAAATCCACTGCCTGGCCCTTACCCAGAGTTTCCAACATGGAGTCGAGGCTCTGAAAGACACAGCCCAAGGGACAGCAGGTTTTACCTGGAATCTTCTCTTCCATGGGACTTACGGTGCTTTACCAACCTTCGGAGATGCCTTGCAAATCCAGCTCCATCTTGCAGTGGGGAAACTGAGGCAAGGGGCTGGAGCATCTTGCTGGGGCTTTCCAGCAGACTAAGGTTTGAAACAAGCACTGGGGGACCAGGCCTACTTTCTCCAGTCATTAGACCACTTCTCCTAGAGCCAGAACCCAAGTGTCCTGGCTCCTGGCTTGGCAGTTGAACTATGTTTTTAGAGGTTTCCTCTCCAAGCAGTGCTGAACTAGTAGGAACGAAGCAATGCATTATCTGTTTTGGTCAGGAGGAGCCTGGAGTTGGTCTGTGGACAATCTCTGCACTCACCTCAACCTCAGCATGGAGCATCCCAATAGCTGAAGTGGATGACAGTTGCAAACATGTCCACGTCCCAGCCCCAGCCCCAGTTCCAGCCTATTTACCTGCATTCTTCTGAGCACTGAGGGTCAATTGTTTGGCTGGGGACCCGAACCAATGCTGAGGAAGCTGAGTGAGACAATGGTGTGCTATCATGCCGTATCTCATACCCCAACTAACTAGCCAGGATACAGCACCATGTTTCTACTATACCAGGCTGCCTCATTTAGGGCATGAGGTGCTTCCTTCAGCTCAGGTACCCCCACGTAGCCCGGTTATGTTAGTCTTTTCCCTGGGTGTGGCTGAGAGGCTAAGAGCATGGCAAGACAGGCACATACCTTGGCAATGCGGTAGTACTGTGTGGCCTCCTCAATGCTGCCTTGTTGCTTGGCATGCAGTGCTGCCAGCTTGTACTCCCGCTGCCTGGCCTGGACGAGTGCCTGGGGACCAGAACTCACAGACCCTGAGGACAGGGAGAATGGAGGGTCAAGCGCACGTTCCACAAACTTCAGAGTCACCCAAGGCAGTACCGGGGTAATCTGATCACACAGAGATGTGCCTGTGTTCTACTATAGGTATTTCCCAGGCTTATGGGCTTTGCTGTTTGCCCCCTTTCCTTTCTGCTACATGTCAGGGCATTTTTAAACCTTCCTCAGAGGCATTAGGTATCAGCTGCAGCTTAGGCTAGGGATGGTGACTGGGCTGTGCCAATGCTCCTGCTGGGACTTAAAGCCAGTCTTGTCCCTCCACCCAGGGTCAGATGGACACTACATTTAGGTTCAGGAAGGAATTTTCCCCCGTAGATTGGCGTGGACTGGTGTTGGGGGGTTTACCTTTCTCTGTAGTAGGGAGGCATGCTCGCTATCTAGGATCTCTTAAGCATATATTAACAACCTTTTATAGAAGCAGAACACTGGCTATCATGGTTCCCCTGCTTTACTTGTGGCAGGTTAGGGTATATCATCTTGTGTTGTGTCACATTTTTTTATATAGGATGGTTTGGATAGGGATTATCCTACCCAAGAAGAGTGTTGGATTAGATGTAAGCTGTGGAGGTCCCTTGCAGCCCTACTTCTGTATGATTTCTACGATACCCCCAGGCCCAACCTTCTCTGCCCTGCAATGTGAAAGAATGAAGTGATCTCCTGTTCCTACCTGCCTGGGGAGATGGGGCCAAAGGAACAGGCTTTTCCTCCGGGGTCTCTGGGGATCTGATAGGTAAGGCAGGGACTGGCAAAACCTTAGGCTTTGGCAGGACAGGAGGCAGTGTCTTGGGGGATGTTGCCTGGGGCAGCTGTGGAGGGGTGGTGGCAGGCGGCTGCAAAGAAGAATGGCTGAGGAGACTGGAGCTTCCATCAGGGGTAGAGGGCTGGAGCGATGGTGTGGTCCCGGGAGAAGAGGATTGCTGTGAACTCACAGTCTTCCCAAGAGCCACTGGCGGTGGGATCTCCTCCTCGTTAATCTTCTTGCCCTTCCTCACTGAGTTCACCATGTTCTCTAGGGTCTGGGAAAAACAAAGTCAACAGATAGGCAAGTTACAAGCTTCTGGTCTCTCTCAATGCCAATTTTAGACAGAAACTAGAGAAAACAGAAGCTGAAACATTAGCCAGAATGTCAGCAAAGAACCTGCCAACAGGAAAAGCAGGAGCTAATGGCCTTGGTCTGAGAGTGGCTTGAAAACTGCAGTCTTGATTTGCAATGAGAAACCCAGAGTCTTTCCTCAACATTCTCTCACCCCCCACCCCAAATCCACTAAGTCACACATTTTTAAGACTAGAAGACAGTAATTGCTTGGATTTTCTATAACACTGAGTGGTCTATTGCTGTACATTTAAAGTCAAACCATTTCAAATAAAATTAATTTGAATTTCAGAAGGCTCTTGCCCTACCAGACAGCTTCCAAGTGTGTTACCCCAAGCACTCACCTTGAGGCCTCTCTCATATCGACGCACTTTGGAACTGTCGCCCACCTGCTTGGCGTTAGTGATGGCTGTTTTGTACATCTCCAGCCTTTCCACAAGAGCAGATTCAGAACTGCTAGATTCAGCAGGAGTTTCATTTGCCTGCAGGAGCCCACAGAAGAGGAGGAGAAAGCTTTGTTCACAAACCAAGCACTGGTGATGCTTGAGGTGCTCACATGCTACAATTATTCTTTGTGACAAAACAAGCTTAATAACAACAGCAACACCACAACAGTAGTAGTAGTTGTAAATAATAATGACAACAATAAAACAATACCACAATAACCACAGCCAAAACCAAACCACAATAACAATATTTTGCTCTATCCAGAAAGGCTCAGAGCAGCTTATAGTAAATGACAAACAACAAGAGTAAATTTCCCAAACAACACCCACAACTAGAAAAACATGGATGAGAGAAAACTAACAGTTGTAATGTGGTGGTTGGACTCCCCCAATGGGTGTTGGAGTGCTGCTCTACACTGGGCCAGCTGCGTTTGCACAACAAATTTCTATCTTGCTCTCTTAGAGAAACTATTAACTCACAAACTATCTTCATGCTTGACTTGGAATGGTTCTTGGAGATGTGATGGTTGAGAGGGTGAGGCAGTCAATATTCCCTCAAAAAATTTCCACGTTGCAAATTTTTGTTAGCTGAAACAAGATAACAGCAGGCCCAGAGCTTGTGGCCTCTAGCACCAAACCCCAAGGGCTGAGGGGTCTTTGCTGGTAACGTGACAGCACCTTAGAAATACCAGGCAGCACAAGAGCATTGGGTCTGGGTTCACTAGCCCTGCAATGGAGGTTTCCTCATTTAGTGTCAGTCCTGAGCCAGCTGAAGGTCCTTTAAAAGGACACTAACAGGAAGAAGATCAATGCATGCGCCAGTAGGGAAATGATACTGCAGTTCAGTGAAGATGGGAACCAGGCAAGAATCACAGGGCTGGAAAGGACCTCCAGGGTCCCCTGGTCTAACCCCCATTGACAAATGAAGCAGCAGAGGAACTGCAGTGCGAGAGGCTAAAAGCCCACATGCTCTTTAGCACCAAGGGGGTGAGCAGACATGACCTGCAAACCATGATGGAGCAGAGACACAGCATAAGCCAGCCCTGATCTGTCCTATGACCTATTTGAAGGTGTGGGAAGATCTCAACGGGAAACAAGGCTGGTGGGGTGGGGGCAGCATTTTTCACCTTTGCAGCAGGGACTAGGGCCACTTGGGTTTCCTCTTCTTCACCAAGGACTTCGTTGAGTTCTGCCTGTAACAGAGAGAAGTTCAGACACTCCAGTGTCAAAATGTGTGTGTGCGCGTGTGTGTGTGGGGTGTCACTAATTCTCAACCAAGGTGCTGTGGCCCCACGGGGTGCCTTAAGATCCTTTCAAGGATAGCAACATGGAGTGTGATGCCATGCTAGCACTGTTACGTGTGCAAATGTGATTCACAAGAAAAACCCAGAGATTTCAAATAGGAACCCATAGCGTTAAAAATATTCTGCCCCCTTGTGTGTTTCTGAATTATTTGCAATGGAAGAATTCCTCTATTATTTTTCTGTGGTTAAAAAGTGAGTGAAAACCTAGAAGCTGGTATTTTCTGAAGGGGGCCTCAAGTCTATAAAGGGGTGTCATGAGTTTGTAAAAGGGTGCCTTGAGTCTAAAGAGGTTGAGCATTACAGGGGAGGGTGCTTGGGAGATCAAACTCCCTCTTTCTGGAGGTAATGGGTATCTAGGAATCAAACCGCTTGCTTCAATAGCTAGAGATGGGCAACAGTGTAGGATTTCTGGATGGCTAGAGCCATAATGCAGTTACATGCAAAATTCAGTAGCATGATTCCCAGGCAGGGCAGGAGGGATGAACAGGTCTGTTCCTACACAAGAATTTTCACTCAGAGCCCTCTCTAAATGCATCAGCCAGTGAACAAGACCTTTTGCACAACAGCCCAAACCATTCCTACGGTATATTACCATTAGCTCATCTTCATCTTCCAGATTATCCTCTTCCTCTCCATCCTCTTCATCAAGGTCTTTCATGCAGAAAGCAGCCATTCTCTCGATTGCATCCATGGGTAAAGGAGCTGGGAAGAAGGCAAGAAAGCTGCAACTCATTTCACTACAAGTTAGCACTTGGGCTGGCGGGCTGGAAGCAAAGACAGACCTCATGAACAGACCTCAAGGCTGGGAGTTGGGAGCACTGAGGTCTGTTCCTGACTTGGCCTCTTGGCTTCCTTTGCAGCCTTGAAATCAAGGCCATGGAAGCTGGCAGCTTGAGAGCCTTTCAATCAGGTCCTCCGAGGGGCCGATACATCACAACAGAGCAGATGGATCCTGTGTGCAGAGCTGGGCACCACTTACTTTTCCCTTTTGGCTTCCCTTTCAAGTTGGGCTGGCACCCAACAATAGCCATGAACTCAGCTTCCAGTTCATTGTCATCCTCCCCATCATCGTTGTCCATCATCCCATCAGCAGAGAAGTCCACCAGCAAACCCATCTGAAGGAGATGACAGATTACCTGCCAGTTAGGACTTTCCTTCAGGAATAGAACAGATTAGTGGGGGGGCAACCTTTTTGGCAGACAGGTCACAAATCAGCCTTGCCCAGACTGCCACTCTGATCCCCTTCCCTTGCCCTGCTCTCTGCTTCCTGCCCCCTGCCTCATGGGCTGCTCTGCTCTCTGCCACTGCGCTGCCTGCCCTCTCCCTAATCTGCCACATGCTCCTGACAGCACTCATGCCACAGGTTAAGCCCCGCCCCACCCCGCCGAGAACAGACCATTTGAAGAAGTGGTACCCAGTGGTGACATTAAGGCAGGGGTGTCCAACCTTTTTGAATGTGGGGCTGGATCATGAACTTTTTATCACCCAGTGGGCCAGCAAGCCATATTCAAAGACCTCACAGGAAGTGGTATCACATCAGGAAGTGATGTCATGTGACTTTTGACACCAATGAAGTTGCGGGAAGTGACAATGAAATGGATCTAACCAGTTCAAAACTCTCCCTTTATAGCATCCACCTCTGCCACTGTTTGGGACAGGATACTGAGCTAGATGGACCATGGGGCTGACCAAGCATGGCACTTTTTATGCTCTTATGTTCAGAAGCTCTTATGTTCTTTGGCTGAGCTTCCAAACTATGGCTGACATTTGCAAAAAGGGGTAGATAGGCATGTTATAAAGTTGTCATAAAAGATTTGGAGCCCTCTAAATCCCATTCATTTTAATGGAAGTTGGCCTTTTGACTCAGCTTTAAAAATCTCAGCCCAAGGTGCCTCATTTTTCCCCTGTCTGCGCCAGTCAGTCCCGAGCAGCACACGGCTCTGCCGCCACTTCTGCTGGCCAGTGCCAACCCGGCCATTCTCCTCCGATCCCCAGCAGCACCTGGAAAGCTGGCTTCAGCTGCATGCTGCTCTGGATGGGACAGACCCGCCCGGGTCAGCACCAGCCAGCAGAAGTGGCGGCGGAGCTGTGTGCCGCTCGGGACTAGCCAGTGCAGGTAGGGGGAAAGTGCAGCTGAGCCCCTGCTGCTCCGGCCAGGCTCATCCTGTCCCAAGCGGTACATGGCTACTCCTCTTCCCACACACACCGTGTCAGCAACGTCAACCTTGTCCCTTCCCTAGCCCTTCGGCAGCCATTAGGAAGCTGCTGAGGGGTTGAGGGAGGCACAAGGGGTGGGAACGAAAGTAAACAGTGTTTACTTTCATTTCCCGTCACAGCTCGGTGGGCCGCATGGTGGCCCGCGGGCCATATGTTGGACAAGCCTGCATTAAGGCATGGGGTCCTGGTGCCTGGATTCAGTTCCCAGCTAATAGGGCTTGGTGTTTTCTGGTGATTGACCATATATGAAGGACAGGAACTCTACCTGTCTTTCCCAGCACAGGATCATAGGGAAAGCAAGGGACTGGGAGTCCGGACTCTTGAGTGCACACTTTTGCTGCCTTGCCACAGACAAATTGCTGCATCTCTGTGCATCAGAATGAAGCTAAGGGTAACCCTGTTTTGCTAACAGTCTGGCCTGGTTCAATGAATGTACATAAAGCACTTTGGCTGCCTCACATGACTGGTCCTACAGCCAGGTGTTACGCAACCTGGTTTCTGCTCCAGCTTCCACCCAAGCATGGGCAGGGGTGGCTGGCTGCCTCATGAGTGACGGACTGCCCTGCCCTGCCTTGGGAGATTTGGCTTTCATTCAGCTCCACAGAAGGAAGCACTGTGTGAAATGACCTTTCCCTCCCACTGCACAGGTTTAAGGACGAATTCACCATCAGTTTTGATAGGTGCATTTGACTTGCTCACACTCTAGCACCTGCCTGCACAGGTTAACCCTATCCCTGCTGGTCAGAAAAAGCACAAAGGAATGGAGATAGGCAGCCACAGTACAGATCAGGCGAGCAGAAATCCTGCATGCATGAGCCACTAATACCTGGCAGATGGCTGGATTCTACTCAGGGCTGCTTCTCATAAGCTATTAGAGAGGCAAACACCAGTACAACAAACCTTCAAAAGGTCTGAAAGTAAGGAAACAGCTTCTGCCAGCTACACATGACATAAGCTGATAAAATGTGTATTCTACTGAGGTTTTATAGCCTGTGATCAATGGGTTACAAGCAAATTTTACTGAGAGCAGAATTCTTGGAGGACAAGGAAAGGGCATGGTGAATACGTTCTTCCCAGCTCATTGGATTCCACAGCCAGGGCTCATCTGCCTGACACAAAGCCTTCTCATCCCATGACAAGAGGGAAGGACTGTGCCAGGTATCACTAACTGTTCACCCGGCATAGGACAACTGTAGGGCTCTGACTTTGAGAGTTGCACATTGTGACAATCTTTATAAAGGCATCATGACAACTAGCTCCCCCATTTGTAATTGGACTGAGATGTCTAAGAGCCCAGTGTTGTTACTAGTGACAAGGAACAGCAATAAATAGAAGGCAATGCACACTTGAAGGAGATGTTTGCGGCCATTCCACCTTTCAACACACAAAGCAGTGTGATGAAAAACACATAGCCAAGTGTCCACAAAGCCTCTAGTGCTAACATCCAATGATACCAGAGACTTAAAATACTGCCCAGAACTTCCCACGCTAGAATTTCTGAAGAATGCTCCACCCACCCATCCAACCCACAATCGCCAATTTACCTAGCATCTATGCCAAGACATCCCATATTACTCCTCTAAAATTGTCTCTTGGGGGTCCCTCTAGTTCCCACCCTCAGCTGAGCTCACCTGCTATAACAATGGGAAGGGATGGATGCACAGTATAAACAGCATGAAAGGATTTTCAAAATCTAAAGTTGATTCTGTTTGAGAGAAGCCATGTTTAAAACCCACATGCTTCACATGTTTTCAGCTGAACCCTGCCTTGGCATTTTAGGCAATAAACAATTATTTGACACTCACTCAAAAGCATCAGAATATAAATCTACAATTTACACAAGTGTGTAATGAAATCCTGACACAAAAAAATAAGAGATGGAGACAATCTCCAAGGATCCTGCTGCTTATCTCTCCACGTGCCACTTATGAGAAATCCCAACAGATTTCTGGTCCGTTACACTGAAACAAATTAATATTAACAGCAGAAACTCTGCTTGAAAATTCTAGGGTAACAAAAGATAATGTGGGCATGCAACAGCTCTAAAATTCTGTGCGCCATTATTTTTCTCATATACTTACAATTCCACATATTGGTCTTTAGCAGAAAAACCAAACAAAATGCATCCTTTTATATCTAGGTTTATTTTACTCCCAAGAGATAGAAGAGAGAGATATGAAGATGACCCATTTACTTCAATTACTTCTGGCTTGTCAACCCTTCCAATAAGATTTCCAAGTGATAGTCTGATTTCCCTCCTGAGGTGTAAGAAAAGACCACCTGGGTCCTGACCTGTCCAGTTTTCCTGCTAGTAGAGCAAGCTAGGAGGACAGACATTCAACCACAGTGCAAAGACCACTGCCCGTTATGAATGACAGTAATCTTCTCTCTCAATTACACCTTTCTTTCTGAACAAGATCAAGGGCTTTGCAAACTACAGGCCAGAGTAGGCAGCTGCTTTAGAAAATCTAGACTCTGACAAAAGCACAATGGCCTAGTCACATACCAAACATATGAGAACTTTACAGCAGAGCTGATGGGTCAGAGACAGAGAAGACAGAGATGAGGAGCTCAGGGCTCACCTGTCTGGCTTTGGCAGCACCACTGCGTCCTGGTGGTGGGGGTGGCCTCCTGCTTTTGCTCATTTCTGTTTGCGTCCCCTCTTAGCCCAAGCTAAAGAGAATCAGTGCATTAGGCCAGACGGAGCTGGCAGTTTATAATGGGATCACTCAGGCATCACCCTTGGGTCACTGGGGCATCTCCCAGGGGCAGCTTGTATAACTCAGCTTCTTCCCCTCCCCCCACCATGCCTTCTTCACCCCCCTCCCCTGTCTCTGTTTCTCCTGACTCAGCTTGCTCCCTCCAATTCTGCCAAGATCTCCACCCCATCCCCCAAATGATCCCCAATCCCTCACTTCCCAAGAGTCTCCAACCTGCCACAGGCTTCCCACCTGCACATGGCCTACCTTCCCCTCAGGGGGCACACTTCTCAGGGCCCCGTTCATGCTTTTCCTATGCTATCACAACTCAAGAGTCTCTTCTAGCACTTGCCCCCCCATACATCCCACCACCTGTTCCCCCACCCAGAACCCACCACAGCTCTTTGCCTTAGCCCTCTGCCCCCCAGCTCCTTACCCCCAGAACCCCCAGCTCCTCACCCTCAGCTCTATATGCCCCGCAGAATTCCCCAAGCCCTGTGCCCCCCATACTTCCCCCAGCTCCTTGACACAAGTCCTACGGCCCCAGACCCCCCGGTTCCTTGCTCACAGCCCTACATACCCCCCACTCCCCTCGAGTCCTGTGCACCCCAAACCCCCGGCTCCTTGTCCCCAGCTCCGTGACCCCCAGAACCCCCCAACAGCTCCTTGACCGCCTGCCCCTTCCCCACAGAGCAAAAGGGTCTCCTTCACCCCCTCCCCCCTCTCATTCACTCACTTCCTGCTTCGCCCAGACAGCTGTCAACAACACACCTCGCTTTACAGCCACTTGCCTAACACTGTCGCACCTTCCTCCACTACTCCTTGCTTTACGGCTAGGAGTTATAGCGTAACAGGTAGCAACATGGCCGCTGCGCACGCGAAAGTACTACAACTCCCAGGCGGCAATGCGCGGGGAGGCAGCTGCGCGTGCGCCATGTAAAGAGGCGTGACCCTGAAGACACACTTCGATGGGGGCGTGGCTTAAAAATAGAATGAACGGAGCTGACAGGGGCGGGGTAAAAGGCGTAGGAGGGCGTCGATCGGGAGTTTGGGGGCGGAGGCTAGAGGTGAATGGTGGGTGGCTAGAAAAAAGGCGGGAAAAGCCGTTGGCCGGTAGGAGCGCAACGGATGGGGGTGGTGGGCTGATTTGACGAGACAGGCAGGCTTAGAGCCTTTCTCTCTACGTATGTATGAAGCAGCAGAAACCAAGGCTCTGTCTACCCAGAACTCTCCATCCTGCCTTTAGGTTTTTAAGAGCCTGGGAACATGAGTAAAAGGAAGAAAGAGTTCTTATCAGGTAATGGGCCCAGCTTGGTGCCTCAAGCTCAGGGTGACTGGTGTCTCCTCTCTTCCCATCTCTTAGGCTCCAGCAGCCCCTTCCTGAGAGCTCAGGTTATTTGTCCTGAAATGTTCTTCCCTTCTGATTGCACTCAGGTTTTTCCCCTACAAAAGAGGAATGTGGGTTCATGTTGTCCAGGCTATGCAAATGCTTACATCTCAAGCTGCTGCCCCTGCTGCTGCTGGTAGTGTTTCCTCTGAGACCACTGCCTGACCAGACCTAATGACATGGCAAAAGCAGGCAAGGTGGCATCTGAGAAGTGATCTGCTTCAGAAAGTCTGCTGTTGTATAGAGAGTTTGGAAGACCACCACCCTCTGCCTCCCTCCCAATGCTTTGCTCCTAAGTAGCAGCCCCCTTCTGTGGCTCTTAAAGCCACTTGAGAAGAATTCATTCCACTTGCAATTCATTTGTGTGGTAACTATGGGTGGCTATTCCCATTTTGCAGACAGGGAAACTTGTGCCTTCCCAATGGGCAGCTGTTGATATATGGTTCACTGCTCTGGTTCCTATGCAGTGCTGCCTCTCAGGGAGTTGAGTTGGGTGGTGTATGCATTTCATTACGTTTTTCACAAGACCTCCCTGAGAGACATGGGAGTTTTTCTCATGTAGAAAGCCACATTTCTTGTTTGGGAACAAAGGAGCTCAGCATTAGCCTTGTGTAGCCCTGCTGTCTCTTCTTGACTGTGTTCTTACTCTACAGGGTATCAGAAAAAGCTCCGGTGTGGTGCCTTTACATGGTAGAGTAGGTAATAAAGGACTAGATTTGATGAACTTTGCAAGTGGGGTGTGCAGTCTACAGTTCCTTGGGAGTAGTTATCTTCCTTTCCCTACCATTTATCTCCATGCATTTTGAAGAATCCATAAATGCAGCAGTTTTGAAAGCAAAGGTACAGCAAGATGATCTATTTAAAATGCCCTAGAATCGATCAGATCTGCTGCGTTCTTTTCACTTCGGGGTGGAATGAGAGAAATTGGTGCTCCAGCTGGCTCTCAGTGCTCGAGGTTCTCATTCAAGAGGCAAGCTGGCTGTGCATACAAGAGAGAGCTTCCTGCATTGCAGTAAGGACCAGAAGTGGAAGGTCCTGATTTTTCCCTGATGTAACTCCTTTGACTTTATTGGAGCTTGTCTTGACTTACACTAGAACTGGGTCTAGAGATTCCTTCAGTATATGTTTAAGTATATGATGTTAATTTCTAGTGTTACCTACTCTCCCCATTATCTTCTCAGACTAAGATGTGTCTGTCTACTGGATCACTGAGCTTTGTCAAATTATAGCTTATAAGGTAATCAGTTTCTTGAAGATATAGTATTATAGTAATAGTATTATTACAACTTTGTCAGCTGGCAGCACTTAGCTGTAGACTTATACCTCATTAGGACTTGTTTTGATTAATACAATTACAGGTTTACCCTAGGAAAGAAATTTGGAATTTGACCACTGCATAATTAACTTTTAAACACTGGAGACATACAGAAATCTTTCTCCCAGAAAAATACAACAGGGCTCCACTGTTGTAGGAGGATTTCCAAGACAGAGAGGGGCTTGGAATTTCTTGTTTAGGTTTAGTTTTCTGTTTTGCTGTATCAGGCGGTGTGTGAAGCTCAGTAAGAGCCCATTTCCCTGGAGAGCATCTGTCCAAACTTCCTTGGACACTTTCTTTAAGAAAGCAGACAAGACTCCAGAAAAACCTGCAGCCAAGACTCCAGAGAAGACTCCAGCCAAAAACCCTTCAAAAAGTCCAACCAAGAGCCCTTCAGAAAGTCCAGCAAAGTCACTTCAAAGAAGTCCCTCCAAATCAATATGATTGCTATTTATAATATAAATACATTGATGTAGCTATAATACTCATCTATAGTAAAAGCTCTGTTATCTGGCATCCCCTGGGAATGGGGGATGCTGGATAATATAATGTGCCAGTTAATTAAGCGGCCTGGGCTGCCGTTTCTCCCACCGTGTCTGGGGCATCTCTCCTGCCGCATCGCCGCCCCTCCTGCGGGCCCCGTGGGACAGGGAGGCAGGCCCCGCACAACCTGTTATGCCCCCGGGCTGTGGGGGCTCAGCAGCTCAGGCTGCTTTGCCCCAGGCCGTGGGGGCTCAGAGAAACTGGAAGTGCCACAGTGGGCACTTCCAGTTTCACTTTATCTTACAAGCCAGTATGCCAGTTAATTGAGCATGCCAGCTTGTAAGATGCTGGTTACTGGAGCTTTTACTGTATAACTGATTGAGTACAAAATTTGGGGTTATTTCTGGGGAAAATAGGGTATCAGGCTGTAGTTCAGGAACGAATCCCCCATTTATAACATTCTTTCCTATTGGAAAAATCAGTTCTGAGTTAACAACGCTTCAGCTTAAGACTGGTTTTCAGGAACCAATTGTGTCATAAGTCTGAGGACTGCCTGTATGCCAAGTTGTGTCATAGTTTGCATTAACATTTAATAATAGTCTGTAATTTTTTATGTAGCTACCAAAATTAACGCAAAACCTGCCCCAGTGGTCAGCCAGCTATGTAATGATCCTTTGAACCTACTAAGGTTCCATTGATAGAACCTGTGATATAATTGCTTCCGCTCTCAAGTTACTGTGTAGTTGTATGAAATTATACACACTTTTTCTTCTAGGTGATATCTACCAAAATTAACACAAAACCTGCCCCAGTGGTCAGCCAACCTACTCCTTTTACATAAAATGTTATAATTTTGGTTTCCTATTTTTTTCTTTAAAACAAGGAAATGATGACCTCCAGGCAAAAATAAGTCTGAGGAGAAACTCCCAGCTGACTGGAGAGAATTGTTTAGAAATACCTGACAGTCCTCAATCTAATAAATCCAAAAGAAAATCAAAATCAATCACAGCAGAAGCAAAGGACTGGGAAGACACGAACAAGGAAAACATTGAAGTTTTTGTGGAAAAGGTGCAAACAAGGTAATTGACTTTGTTCCCCATGAATCTCTGAAATAATCAAAACATTACTCCAAAACTCTGTTTATCTAGTGAATTAATAAAGGGGTGAGGGTATTCTTCCTAGCCTTGTGAGTGGGGTTGAGTATAAGGCAAGTTTGTTTTCACCACTCCTTACACTTCTTTAATTTTTACTGCCCTTTGATGACAAGTGTAGGATTTCCTTCACTTGTTCACTTCAGGCCCAAAGACAATTTTTTTTTCCAGTACTTACTCAGGCAAACATTCAATGAAAGTCAAGGACTGTAAAATTTGCCTGATTTTTATAAGTACTCAAAACACCACAAGAAATTAGGGAGGTCTCAGTCCCTCTAAAAAGCAGGTCCTATATATATGTCTGGTTTATATTTTGCATTTCAGTGGCATCTTTCAGCTGAGGGTATTGGAGTTCTTCACATATACTAATTTTTCCAACATTCCCATGAAATTGATTGGTATGGTATTCCCACTTTACAGAAGGGTAAACAGAGGCACAAAGTGACTATTGCTTGCTCTAAAATAGCCTGGCAAGATACTGATAGGCCTGGGAACAGAATACAGGGTCTAGATTCTATGTCCTGTCTCTGACCAGGGAATATATACGTTTGTTCATTAACAGTACCTACATGTGCATGGTGTTGTGTTTTCTTTATCTAAGCAGTTCAGATGATGAAGGAAGGAAGATTACCTCTGAGCTGAAACACCTAAACCAGACAAAAGACTCAATTTCTCTTTCTTTATCTCAGGTAGGTCTGTTTCAAACGTTTGATTAAAAGTTCATAGTAGGGATAATTTGAACTGTGATCTTCAAGGGGCTGTCTAGACATCGAGCGGTTAGTCGGTTCCTTCCATGATGCAGCTTAATTACCTTCTAACATGCAGCCGGATTTTCTGTATGGACATGCTGCTTCAACACAACCCTAAACCCCTCCAGCTGGGACACTGTCAGCAGGCATCAATGTATCGAACTACCTGGTGAGATTACATGAGAGCAATGTGCAGCTGAGAAAAGTTAACCTGAGTGAGATGCCTCCATCACAAAGCCTAAATATAAGTTATTAATGTACAACTAATATATAATCTTTAGTTTTGCTGTAACATAAAGGTTTTAAAGAGTTATGAAATCCTGTGAAATGCATTCTTAAAGAGGCAGTATTCAGCAAAGCAAGTAGGAAAAATGTTTAGATTCAGCTTTGACTGTTATTAAACAGCCTAAAATGGTCTGGTTAGTGCTATCTACTAGGCAGGATTATAAAGCCAATTGAGCTTCTCTCCTTGGTATCTGTCTAAACAATACTGAAAGCTGCTGATGTGAAGACATGCAGGTTATTGCTCAGAATGTTGGATTATTTAGTACACTTGGGAATAACCACCTTTTACACTCGTCATTTTTTAACTTGGTTGTAGAACACAGTGGGGAAGTTTGTGCCAGTTTTTGCAAAACCAAAGAAAGCTTTGCCTGAAAGAACAGAGAAAGATGATGGAGAAGCTTCAGAAATTCAAACAGAACAGGTATAGCTCTGGATCATGAATTGCCTGTGTATATACAGTTACATATTGTAGCATTTACAAGTTAAAGGCACTTCTTTTTGCTAAATGTTGGAAAGGGTAGAGAAATATTTTGTTCTGACTAAAAATCTAAAGCCCCATTTCACAACAATAATACAAGATAAATGCATCTCCTACACCATTTAATGGACTGCCAATCCATACAGCTACCAATACCCAAGAATGAGTCCCTCCATAAATTTTACCCCAAAAAAGAAACAAGGTGGTAAAATTTTCACAAGCACTCAAGTGACTTAGTAACTCAAGTCCCATTTTCACAACAGACTTGGTTAAGACTCATCACCTTTCAGTGAGACTCAAGCTTAGGTCCCTACGTTAGTTGGAGACGTGTGAAAATGTTACCCAGTGTCAGCAACATGCAGTAATTGATTGAATGGTAAAGCCTCGGGGAGGGGGAAGCATGTATTGTAATCTAGTCCCTTTTAGCTGGCCCTCTAGGGTTGCTTTATAGTCTGTTGTCTCATTCTAAATAGGTTGGTGATAGGGTTTCTACCACATCCCATGAGAAAATATTCTATGCTATCATTTGTTTCAGCAATGTAGAACAACTCCACAGTCTCATGTAAATGGAAATTATAAATCCATGGGATGAAAAAATAGAGTAGGATGCATAGTGCAAGTATTCAAATTCTTTGTGGACCTTTGAGATTTAAAATTTTACCCAGCCTTAAAAAAATCTGTATTGAGAAGGTTGACAGAGTTTGGAGTAGATATACTCACATATTGTAAATTGAGGAAAATGGAGCTATGCAACATTTGAGGTTCTGAACACCTATTTTTCACTGCCTAGCTAGAGACTTTTCAGATACCCTTGAAAAAACCGGTGTCACTCATGTTAATGCCCTCTAAATTCAGCACCCTTTTGCTAAATTGCCAGCTGTTTGGAAAGAATTGAGTAGGACTATATGGCTTGGAAGATACTAAATGCTGCTGGTTTCTTTCCCAAGGCACTGACAATGCACAAATCTTTTAACTTCAGGAAATACTGGAGTCTAATCCCTCGTGCATGGACAGCAGTCTAGCCTGTGATTCGTCAGAAGCAGCAGTTCAGGAAGTAAAATCACTATCAGAGCCACTTGAGCTGACACATTTACTGGTGGGCATAGCAGAAGAAGCAGGAGATCAGGTGATTCCTCAGTGTCAGAAACATACTGGTGAAGGACTAGAGGTTAAAGCTCAGGTCCAGTATCAGACTGAAAGCATTAGCAGTGATGCTGCTGGAGTGGGACTGGGAGATTCTCACCAAGGAATGGGGGCAGTATCTAATTTGCAAGAAGGTATTTGTGGTAAACTCTCTTTAGAGGAACCCATTTCCTTATTTCATGGTATTTCATATTGCAAGGATGCTGGGAGTCGTCATGACAATAGAAGCCTATGTGCAGGATCACCTGAAAACCCAACTGAAAAGGATGCAAGCTGCAGTGTTTCATCAGAGCCCAGAATTACTGACAGAGGTAAAGACAGTCAACATGAAGTGCTTCCAAGTCGTTCCTATGAGACTGTGCAACAAAAAAAATCCATGCTGGATGAAACTGATGTTAAATTGGATGACTTTGCTAAAAACAGGAAATGGACTAAGAATTTGAGTGGGAAGGTCCTAGAACTGGCTGATGATACAAGCACTGAAAGGGAAAGAAAGACAAATGTTGTTAAAACCCCATTAACAGATATAAACATCAACACTGCTGAAGAACAGGACAACTCACACACTGGTGATAAAGCTGGACAGGAAAGCAGTGGTGTGAGAGAGGTTGAACAGAGCAGTCCACACCAAGATGGCAAAAGTGTAGACCTCAGCAATCTTGATAACGGCAAAATTGCAGAACTCAATGACAGCAAAACTCAGAACAGCAGTGCTAAAATGGCTGCTGAAAACCGCTCCCAAACCAGTGACATGGAGCAGAGCAGCCCATGCACAAATGCTGACATTACAGAACAGAGAGACAGCTGCAAAGTCACACAGGAAAGCAGCTCCCTCAGCAGTGGCAAAGATGAGGGGCAAAGCGGCCCTTGCAACAATGGAGGAGTTACAGAGAAAAGCAGCAATGACAGAGCTGTCTCTGGGAGGGATTTTCCTAGTTGTGCTCAGGCTATGATTGTGAATCCTGAGATGGACATCCATAATTTTGAATCAAAAAGTGAACAAACCAGTGAAACAATCCATCAGTGTTATGTAGGAACTGACAGAGTTAGTCACTCTGAAGTCAGTAAGATTCCACTGCAAATGGCTTTTTACACTGGAGAAAGTGATGCTGGCAGAGAAGAGGCAGAGAAGACTACAGGTGTGAGTGCAGGATCTGTCTCCAGTGCTTCAGTCCTTGTTCATGGGAACTTTACATGTAAGAACACACAAGATCATTACATGGCTTTGGAGCAATGGAAGGAAAATGGAAACAGGCTGAGGCCTGACAGAAAACAATCACAGGTCGGTGCCTGTGACTTAGGATGTAATGGACTCGAAGCAAAGTCCTTAAATACAGGAAGTGTTCAACCAACTGTGAGTCAGATTCCACAGGCAAGATTACAGCTCTCTCCATCTCCTGACAAGTCGCTGAATGGAAAAAACAATGAAGAATGGGTTTCCTGTGAGAAAAACAAGATGAAGCCTTTTCCTACAGAAAGTTGTCTTTCCTTTGTAGATGTGTCTGAGCAGCCTGAAAGAGAAATGGTGATGACTCATCATAGAAAAGAAGCTGATGTTAACACAAGTGGCCAGACATCTCTTTCTGCAACACATATGGACTTACCTGGTGGTGTGCCTAAGAGTGCCACCCCTGTGGACAAAACCTGTTCCCCCTGGGGAGAGACGCTTCCTCTGGATGTAGAATTGCTGCCTGACAGCCAGTTATGGGATACCCTCAAAGATAACAGCCTTGAACTTTCACTGCAGCAGGTAATTTGAATCAATGAATCAATGGTGACTGTCAAGGTAAGTTAATGTTGATTTAAAAAAATCCCTTTTAGGGTGGAATTGGGCACATCTAGCTTTTAGGAAAAAAACAGCATTCATCCTGTACCTGGCCACATGTGCCACATTACCTGTAGGTACAAAAACTTCCCATAGGAATAGAGCAGAGACACCAATGGCACTGCCAATGTCTCAGGGCGCTGCAATGGCAGGGAATCAGGAGGTGAAATCTGCTCATACGATTCATTGCTTTTGTTTTCCTCCATTTCCTGGATGCCTAGCTTGAAACACTTTAGGGCTAGGGCAGGGGTGGGCAAAATGTGACCCGTGGGCCAGATGTGGCCTGCTGGGCCATTCTGTCCGGCCTGTGGGGCCCCTGAAAAATGTATAAAATTAATATTTATCTGCCCCTGGCTGCCTGTCCTGCGGCCCTCGATGGCTTGCCAAAACTCAGTAAGCAGCCCTCCACCCGAAATAATTGCCCGCCCCTGGACTTAGGGCCTAAATACAGTTCTTGGCTTCCCTGTAAGCTACCAGGAAGGTGTTTAGTTTGCATAATTTGGACAATTCTGCATTAGAGGACACATCTCCCTGCTTGTATTCACCACCAATTACTTTATAAAGAAATCACCATCATTATTCTGCATTGTAGTGCTAAAATGCATGTATTTTACACTTCTAAAGGACAACAGATTTCTTCATCCCCTCCCAATATGGCGAGGGATGACCACATATTAGAAACAATCCTTCTCTGGGTGGGAGTGTGTCAAATCAAATCTGTTATGCAGAGCATGTCGTTATTTTTGTCTGTCTGTCTTTCTCCCTCAGGCATTTCCTGTGGACAGGAATTGCAGTTCTGTGCCTAAAAATGATCTGTCTGCTGAAAGAGAACTAAGTGATACAGAGACACCAGTTCCAGGCATTAGTATACATCATCCAAAAAAGCTGCAGCCCAGGTAGGCAGATGTAACATTTAGTATTGTGAAACCTTTTCAATATGTTCCTCCATTTCATAGCTTTATGCTCCAAAGTAAATAATATTGCATTTCACCAGCAGTCAGGATTATGCCTATTAAGCCTAACTAATGGAGCTAGATAGATTTTTAAATCAAGTGGCTCCTCCTGGACTAGGAAGATTTGTGGCAGGAAGAGATACCAAGACTCAATTGCATTACAAGGTGGAACGGAAAGAATGGAGAGTGTCAGCTGGCTCTAGTGTCCACACATAAACCCCTCCTCCCATTTCACTGCTGCTATGCTAACTAGACATACATGAATATGTGTACTAGTGTTCCACATGAAAGGCAAATGTCTATTGAGGATTCATGTAGAGACAACATCCTCTGTGCATAGATTAGATGGTAGGACAATTACATTTTGTCTACATCAACTTCTCCTTGTAGTTTTAAATGGATCTAGGATTCCTCTATTTTCTAACCCTAAACTGTTGTGTTGTGTTGTATGTTTTGGTACACTTTATTCTACGCTGTTTGGGAGGAATTGGGTGAATTAATTACTACAGTTTCCAAGACATTATGAGAACCTTTCAGAAGACTGGCATTATAGCTGTGTGAGATTATTATTTTTGCATGAAATACCAAATACCGGGGACTTTTTTACAGGTAAAAATAGTTTTATCTCTAGGATAATTTCACATTGATATTTTTTCTTGGTGAAAAACAGTATTTATATTTATTTGAAACACTTGAAAAAATAGAACCGTGATCTAGATTGTAGAAAATATGCTGACTACCAGTTTTGTAACCTGATGTAAAGGGCACTAACATCTGGAAGAGAGACAGTGGGGAGCTAATTGCAGTAGGAGCTTCCAGCACCTCACCAGCAGGTGGCAGGGAAGCAGACAGCCCATTTGTACTGAACAAACAGCTAGTCCAGGATAGAAAAGACAGGTAACATCTACACAAGTATACCTTACATCAGCCTAATTTTACCTTGCTTTTCTCAGTGTAATTCTACACTGTATTTGAGCAACTTTGAACTGGTAGGGTATCAGTTTGCTCCTTGTTTACACAAGGGCAAAGGCTGGTTAAACTCCTTCACACCTCTCTGGCAGCATAAAGGAGCCCTTAAAACTGAAGTAAATTACATTTAACTATGTAAAATGGCCTCATTGTAAACGAGGGCCCTGTGTTTTAGCGGAGCAGGAATTGATGCTTTGGCGATTAGTACTACCTTGGTTCTTCTCTTCTTTTTCATCAGAGTTGAGATGGAGGGAATTTATGATCCCACCAAAGAGGAAGATGCAACAGATGTTGTTTGTGGTCTGATTATTGAGCTCTCTAATCTCAAGTAAGAACATGTTTTGTATTAGGGAGGGTACCTGTAAAGCTCATTATTATGATTTTCATTATAGATTGGAGGATGGGAGGGTTGTTTTACAGTGCTTAAAGTACAGCCGGTCCTGGAAACTAGGTAGGTTTCCACATCTTTGGGTGGCCTATGTAAGCTTCACATTGGACCAGAGCGATGCCCAGTTGTGTGTACAAAGCTAAGAAGAAGTGAGCAGAGCAGGGAGTGTGGGGAAGCGAGCTCTGCGCTAGTGATAGAATCTCTTCAGGGCACCTAAATCCTACTGATTTAGCAGCAAGAATAAGCAGAAGTAGCCAAACTCCTAATGGGCATATTTAGAATTTTTCTCGAGTCTTAAGTATTGTTCATATGCAACCATTCTCTGGTTACCTGTCTCCCTTTAACCTTGAATATTTTCAACTAATGGGGGACTGTCTGAGATCATCTGGGAGCATTAGCAGCCTTACTACATAGACTTGTAGGGTCAAAGCTTATGGCCTAGTCTTCATTACAAATTAAAAAAATAGATGGATTGTTAACATCTTTCAGCTAAACTGTGTTAAATATCTAAGACAGACAAGGTAAATTAACTTAAATTCAAAATAAATCCTAGTCTGTCCACTAGTTAGTTAAACGGTCTGGGGGAATTTGTGTTAAAACATGCTTAGCATACATTTAACCTTCTGTTAACTCCTGCTGGCTAATGCAGGCTGAAATATTTATACTGTCTTCACAGTTTAAAAGAAAAACAAACTAACCCCCCAAAAAACAGTTTATACCAGTGAAGACAAGGGGAAGAGATTCCATTTGTACGTTTAAGACACTTATTCAGAAATTTGAATTAAATAGGTGTGAACAAACAAACCATACAGTGTCTAAAGAGCTTTAGGCTCCAATTAAGCAAGCACTGGTAACTTCAGTACAAGAGCAATTCCATCCGTACAGTGATTGCAGGTAATCATATGTCTTGAATGGGGCTTAAAGCTGTTCACCTTTTTATGGCTTGTTTACTCACACCTATTAAATACAAATTTCTTCCACACATTTTCAAGAAAAAATGCTTGATGAATGACCCAACAGACCTGCCCCTTGGGTTAAAGCTGATCTAGGGAAAGAAAACTGTGTGTGAATGATACTGCTGGCTGATTAGCAAAGTAAGGATTATGGATCTTTACGAGGGTATTTTTAAAGACACTTAGAATTTCATTCCTGCCGCTGTTATAGAGGGTTTGCTGCTAATGTGAAACACATCTTGTTTTCATTCTTTCTAGTCGATTGATAATGAGCACCCACAGGGATCTGGAGTCTTTAAAGAGGCTGAAGTACAGAAAAAGCAGACAATCGGGGAAATTTCTCTCTCATGCCCTGAAGGGAGCTGCAAACACTCTGTACCCAGGAAAAAAATGGAAGGAGACATAGGACTGTGGGTGAGGACAGAGCCAAATAGTAATATTGCTTGGTTTAACAGTTTAATTGGCCATAAAGTTTTGTTCCATTCCAGTGTGGCTTTTCCTTTCCTAATATGTGACATTCTGGATCTTATTCACTAAAGCTCTTTTATACCTCGCTATCCACTTTAAAGCTCTTTTCCATCATTAGGACAGTGCAAAAGCCTTTAGCATAATTGCATACAAGGCACCATGTCTTATAAGTAATTTGGAGTTCTGCAGTCTTTCTGAATGTTTCTTGAGGAAACCAGAACTGGTGCATGCATTTTTGGTCATGACAAGTCCCTGTGACCGCCTGCATTTATGATGTTTTTCTAGCACAAATTAAGCCAGAATGTGACCCTTGAATTAAAAGTGAAGGTGTTTACTAGTTGCTTTCAATCTATAAGTGTTGCAAACCTCAGTGTCGATTCTGGATGGTGTTTATTTTTAATTCATGTTGTTTTGGTCCACTTATTTTATGCTTATTGTTAAAATTACTTAGTTGGAGGGGAAGGAAATACCATATTTGTTTATCACATTTAGCTTTTCCTTTTCACTTCTTGTGCTTTGAAAGAAAAACTAGTGAACACAAGCCTCAGAATCCATGAATCTAATTTAAAACATGTTGGTGTTGTATTATTACTATGCGGCTATAAGTAATTAAAAAAACAGGTAGACATATAATTTATATTTATTAGTGCAATAACAAAATAATATTTTAACAAAACGGCAACCAAAAAGTACCAAACATAACAGCTTTCAAAATAACTGGTAAGTAACAAGATATATGTATAACATATAAAAAAAAAAACTGTCAATGAAAATAAAAGCACAGAGAGCTGAGATGCATATTTTTTACAAGGAAAAGACAGTACTTAATCAGTCACCACTTTGACATCAACAGGTGAATGATTACCCAGTTATGTGCAATTTTCCCTTCAATTCAAGTGTGAGACCACCTAGGCTTTAAGAGCTATTGAACTGCTCGGTGAGCATCAAGGAATGGCTTGAGTGCTAGTCACGGTCATCAGAACAAGACTGTTTTGTTGACATTCTTTCTCTCTCCTTTCAACTCAATGACATAAAGGCCCAAGAACTGGGGCATCTACTATTAGCTTCCCAGGTATAAGGACTTATCTACATTTAATAGGCTTTGCCAGCGTAGCCACAGCAAAACTCAAGTGTAGGCCAAATGTCTGTCTGTTCTTCCTGAGCTGGATCTGGAAGCCAAGGCAATTATGTGTCCATTATTAGAAAAATAAAGTGTTACTGTAAGATGGGTCTGTGGGTGGGGGAGTGAAGATGACAGGATTCCAAGTTGATGAGGCAGGGAGTATCCATGTTTCTATGTTCCCTGATGCTTTAGCCTTAGAGAGGGGCCAGGTAACAGTGTGAAAATGAAGAAGGCTGCCTGAAAACCTTGGGAACCTATAGAACAAACAAACAAAAATGAATTATCCACCCTTTCTCCTGCAGCAGACACAATGGAATTATTGGGCTACATAACAGACCTTCCAAGAGCTTATCTATGTGAGAAAATTGTTTCCATTTAACTAAGAGTGATTTGGAGCCAGTTTAGTTAAACTGGTGCAAACTCCTCAAAGGACAGATTTTGGTGACCAAGGAAGCAGAAAATTTTTTTAAAAAGTAGAATAAGCTGGAAAAAAAAAAGGCTGGGGGCTTACTGCAGAGTCTGTTCTTATCACATGGTAAGCAAAAGATGTAACAGGGTTAAGTTACCCAGGTTTAGTTTTCATTTACAACAAGTTAGTCATAGACACAGGTAGTTAGGTAGTTAAGGCTTAAACTCAGACTTCCTGTAATTAATTTATCCAGGCCATTCATTTAGATGGGGCTGAACCTCCAGTCTGCTGGTTGGATGAAGCCCATGGAGCCATGTCATCTGCCCCATGGGTCTGGAAATTTGGTGGCAGGGGAGCCCTGGGCAGCAGGGGAGTGACAATGAATGCTACCAGCCCCAACAGGGAGCCTCACGTGCTGGATGATGTGGCCCTGTATGCTGCATCATGGCATGAGGGGTCAGTACATTGTGGCTGGATCAGGATACACAGGGTTGGGCCAGCACATGACCTGATTGCACCCATGGACTGACTGCACATTGGATCCAGTCCACGAACCAACCCCATGCCACTCATCCAGACCATAGGACCAGAAGGCTGAGCATCACTGCCTTAAATTGATTAGGAGTTGGTGGGTATGTCTACACATTCATTAATGTGCAGTGCCTACTGCACATTAGTGTGATTGCACACTTTTTTCATGATGGTTAGAGTGCAGTAGATTAATACTACTGCAGATTAGCCTAATAGCATGGTTTTTGCTGTGATGCTGTAATGTGCAATCAGTTAATCTACTGCACATTAAGCATCCTATGCAGACATGCCCAGGTTAAACCCAAATGAAAAAAAAAAAACACTCTGGCAGAAAAAAGCATCCACATCCATGTGTATTGGTTCAGCTCAACCAGGTTAACCCCCTATGTTTAAACTTATGCATACAAAGATGTAAGACAGTGATCTTGTTTAAGAGCTGGGTGGCCTCAGGTCATAGCTGTCTGTGGTGTCTGAGACCGGTAGTCAGAATTATCAGACAGAGCTGGGAAGTGAGTCAGGTAAAGCAGAAGCTACAGGAAAGGGCTGAGCTTCTGAGACAGGCATGGGATGTAGATGCAAAAATGGTGCTTTCTAGGTCAAGTGAATAGTTTTGTTTCAGTGTTACTTTGTTTTTTTTTGTTGGATAAATAAACAATCTGGTGAAGAAAGGGGCTTAAGAGACTCTGGGTGTGGTGTTAATCCTTTAGGAGCTGGGGAAACCAGCCAACAAGCTACAAAGGCTTTATTCAGTTCTTATATAGGCAAAACTTGGAGTTCTGCCAAGTGTGAATTTGAGAGAGGATTCCCCCACCCCTACTTTTTCCCCATTTGAGAGCTTTAACCTTTTTACGGCTGCTTCAAATGCTGCTCTGGATTCTGTGGCTGAAATGTGGTATGTAAATCACTATTTTAAATATCAGTGACCTGGATCCCAGCACTTCTGAGCACTGCAGCTGGTATAAACCAAGAAATGGCACCAGTTAGTTTAGATTAGTTTTAAAACCAATTAGTCAAAAGAATGCAAACCCTTTTGTGAGTGCTGAGGAACTGGGTACACTAAAAGAGCCTGCTGTCACAGCTGTGCTGGCATAGTTCCACTGGCATAGTTCTCCCCAAGTGGAGAAGTATACGCCAAGCAAATTTGCCTTTGTGCCAACAAAGCTCCCCCACCTTTCCAAATAACCCAACAAAAGCACTCTTCTGTCAGTGTAGCTGTATCTACACCAGGAGGTTTGCTGGCACCAGGAGGTATGTGTGAGTTTTTCATGCTTCTTGGGAAAACAGCTACACCACAAAAAAGGCTTTGTAGCTAGTTCTGGTCTTACACTACTTCAAATGCAGCTTGTATTGATTTTTGAACTGATACACGCACAATTTTATAGATGTACTTGAACTGGTGGAATTCACTATTTTGATGTAATGGTCACTTATTTAGCTTTAAAACAAACCTATTCTTAATTGGCTTAATTCCACATTCCTTTTCACTGTTTAACTAAATTGGATTTAAAACTCGCACCCAAGTCAAACTGGTACAATTTTGCATGTGGCCAAACTGTTAACTGTTTAAAACCAACAAAAGGAAGTTGTTTTTTTTTTCCACACGGCATGTAATTAAAGGGTGAAACTCACTGCCACCGGAGGTGGTGGAAGCTGAGAGTTTAGCCAGATCCAAAAAGGGACTGGATGCATTCTTGGAGGAAAGGGGGAGCTATTGAGCAGGGAAGCAGGGGGGCACAGCTTCTGAATCATAACTTCCTAAACCTTAAATGCAAGTGGGAGAGGAACAGTGGGTAAAACTCTGGTCATGCCCAGTTCATGCTCCCTTTCAGCCCTTGCTCTCTGCCACCCTGTGCCACAAGAGGCTAAGTAAGATGAACCTATGGTCTGACCCACTAAATGGCAATTCTTATGTTCATTGCAAGTTCAATTGCTATAAGCCAGAGTTAAACCACTACAGCAATGTCTACAGGCAAAGGTGCTCCATTTCAATGAAATCAACTTGAAGTTATTTGGGGAGTTCAGTCCAGATCAGGCCTCAGCCTTTACAAGTTGTTGCAGTCAACAGTGCCATCCTGTGGCCATTATATTTATTTACAGTTACGGCATTTAAAAGAAAATATTCCAAGCTGTCGCACACATGGCTCTTCTTACATTGTATTCATAGATTCATAGATTGTTAGGGGTTGGAAGGGATCTCACAAGATCATCGGGTCCAGCCCCCCTGCATTAGGCAGGAAAGACAACTGGGGTCAGGTGACCCCAACCAGGTGACCGTCCAGCCTCCTCTTGAAGATTTCCAGGGTGGATGATTGCACCACTTCTGGAGGGAGTTTATTCCACCTTCTGGACACTCTTAACCGTGAAGAAATTTTTCCTAGTGTTAAGCCTGAAATGGTCTTCCAGGAGTTTGTGGCCATTACTCCTGGTTTTCCTCAAGGATGCCTTAGTGAACAGTTGTTCACCAAACCCTTGATATATTCATCTGATGTAAGCTGCTACCAAGTCCCCTCTCAGCCTTCTCTTTTTTAGGCTGAAAAGTCCCAAACCCCTCCGCTTTTCCCTGTATGACTTGCCTTGCAAGTCTCTGATCATACGGGTGGTTCTTCTCTGGACTCTCTCAAGCTTTTCCACATCTTTTGTGAAATGTGGTGCTTAGAACTGGACACAGTACTCTGGCTACGGCCTCACCAATGTTGAGTCAAGCAGAAGAATCACTTCCTTAGTTTTTCTTGATGCTAGTAATGCAGCAGTATTGTGACTGTTTCCTACCCTTGTTAAAGTCTCTTGAAATTTAGTCACATTGTTTGCTTCTGGGGAAAAAATCATCATGGGACACACTTAATAGAACCTTTAACAGACACTAAATCAGAGAAATGATTAAAGCAGTGATTCTCAACTGGATGACTGAAGGTCCTGTTAAGGGTGATGCACCATGTGGCCCATGTGAGAGGAGGTAAAAGCTTTCCTCCTTTAGTCTGGTGCCCTGTGCCTGCCCCAGCTACTCAGCAGTGCCTGGGGCTACTCCTTTGGGGACTGTGGCAAACACTGGACACCCCCACCACCCTGCATTCATGCCAGTTGCCCCCACAGTCCCAGCAGTTTGCTCTGTTGTGGGCACATGTGGGGTCTGAGCTGCACTTTGCAGCCTGGCTGCAGTGGTGGCCTTAGGGTTGTTGGGGACCTGGAAAAGAGAGTCATTTGGGGTCTTGTAGAGGCTTAATTTTAATGAACTATAAGGAAATTGGACATTTTCAGTTTAACTTTGCCCTATCCATGAAACTGCAATGAAAGTATCTTAATACAATGCTGATAATACAAATATTCAGTGTAATTAATTTTTATTTTAATAAAGTGTGGGGCCCCAGGTGGTTGCCCCGTTTGCCCTCCCCTAAGGCTGCTCCTGCTGGCTATTCCTTCTGTTTCTTCCATGCTCCCAGGACCAGAAAAAAGGGCTGTGGGGGCAGTGGCCAGTATGTGACCCCCTGCAGGGGCACCCTCTGTGGTGGTGACTCCAAGGACGGACTGGGGGCAGGAAAAAGGAAGATGATAGAAAACACCCCCTGCCTTCACCTGAGACCTACTAGCTCAGTGAGTGTTAACCTTTTTAGTCTCAAGATACTGCTCCATTTCTTTTCTGAATGTAGCTTCTAACTCAGTGATTCTCAAGTCGGGTGCCATGAAATTCAAGGAAACTATGGAGGGGGCCTTGAGGCTAAAAACATTTATTAAGCACATGGAAAGCCTTTACATGGAAAATTAATAGATGGCACATCTATGCATGCATAATAAGCTGAAGCAATAAACTCCATTGCACGTCACACCAGAGTTTATTGCTCCCAGGTGCCCTGAGCACCTTGAGCTGGGTCAGAGCAGCCCCAGCTGGCAAGCAGCAGCCTGCCAGCCTGGAGCCGTTCCATCCTGGCTCAATATGCTGTGGTGGGCCTGGCTGGGGCACAAGGGTGTTCCAGCATGGGACTAGCCCAGCAGGTAGTGCTCCAGCCAGTTGCGCTCGCGATTACCCGTGCGCTGCTGCTCACGAAAAATCTCTGCAACAGGATAGTACTTGTATTTACAAGTATGAACCTACTGTAGAGTTTATTAGTTTCCTGTGGCCAAATAGAGCCACACGTATAGATACCAAAATGGGACAGAGCTAATTAGACAACTGCAGTAAACCACCTGTGTAGACTGCCCAGCGAAGTGCAAGATGCAGCAACTTAAGAAACTAATGCAAGCAAAGGTTCTGTACTGCCAGAGAAAGAGAAAAATGCCTGGAAATATATGACTAACTTGGGTCCCCAAGATATTGTAACAAAGTTCTCAAACATCCCTCTAGATAGAGAAGACAAAACCCCAGTGGATATCCAGCTGGGGATATAAATACAACACAAATTGAGCCTTGCAATACCTCTGTGAAGTTTCTTCATTATCCTCCCACTCTGAAGGAGCAACTGAGGCAAGTATGCAGTGACTTTCCTATGGTCACCCCCTAAATTAGGTTTCAGCTACATGGCAAATGTAACCAACCCCTGGGGGGCCAAACTGCTATTTTGTATAAACAATGGCTCTAGGCACAAGGCTATCTGTTGTGTGGACAGACAAAAGGCAGTATTCAAGCTAGAAATAACATCAGTCTGCTCTCTCAGTACCCTACTTTCTAAGTTATCCCCATCCTTTTTACCTTCAGAACAGTTCAGACCAGGGTAGTGTTGCCACTGATGTGTGAGAGTTGCAAATACTGTCTGTGCTTGTTAATAGCTCAGTTGGTTAGAGGACTTGTGCTTATAATACACAAGGATGCAGGTTTGATTCCTGGGCTGGACTAGATGGGGCTCTCTTGAAAGCCCTTCTGGCTGTTTTCCTCTATGAAAGTAAGATTCAAAAAGTTAATGATCTGGATAGAGATGAGATCATTCAGCAGCAGGCTGAAATAGAATAAGTAGGTTCTCACTAGAAAAAAAAAAAAGTTACCTGAATATGGAGTTGAGGAACTGAGGCCTTTTCAGGTTAAGAGATATTTGAAAGAGGTAATGAATCATCCTTGTTCTTCTGTATGGGGCCACTGACAGGGCGCTTTCCCATTGAATTTCTGGAGAAGCAGTTGTATACTGATGTGTATCCTTTCCTGGTCAGGGGGCAGAATCTCTTGGTGTGAGCATTCTCCTGTGTGGCCCCGCATTGTGGGCAGATGTAGTTCTTTAGGATTGGACATGCCACCCTTCCTTCCTTGTCTTTCAATTTGTGAGAGGTATAGATGTGTTTTGATTCCCCATTGTGCTTGCAAAAGGCACAGATAGTGATTCCTGTCCAGGTCCCAGAGGAAATGACTTGTCTTCTGAACCTGGGACTCTCCATCTCATCTTCAGAAGTGGCAGCCATCTGCAAGCTGTCTTCTTTGCTTTGCTGTTTATGAATCTCTTCCACCACTTCTGCCAGCCCCAAGTAATCCTTCCAGATGTTAAACTGTTCCATGTTGTAGTTCCTAGGAAAACTTGCATGTGTTGGGGAGTAAAATAGCTCCATGTGATTTTATTTTCTGAATGGGCCATCAGTGAGACTTCAGAAGAGCCAATCACATTTTTGGAAGTCTACCTGAGTCTGTCAGTCAGCTCCCTCCCCCACTCCACCTCCTTCTGCCTGGAGACA